GGGGCAATTAGGAGGGTAAAGCAGGAGGTGAGAAGGAAAGAAATAAAAGCTACGAAAGATGGGGAGGAAGAGGAAAAAGATAGGACAACAGACAAAAATACAGACTAATAAATAACAAACAAACCTACCAAGATAGGGAGAAGGTGATGAGATTAAACCCTTTGTGGGAATGGTCAGTACTTCTTAATTGTTATACAGCATTTTGAGCCCACAGTACTAGGTGCCTTAATTGTATTTCAGTCAGCTTGATTACATGCCATTCAAAATTCTGTTCTTTCAACAAGAATTAGACTCATAGTGATATTGAACAAACCTTTAGCTGCATTTTTGTAAAAACAACTGAGTGCTATCATGAAAGGACTCATCATTCCTAATGCAATTCAGTAAATTAGAAAACAAGAAGGGGACGGTAGACAATTTCTCAACCTTCTAGTCTAACCAGATCCATTAACAAGATATTATTGAATTTCATTGCACCAGGAAATCCGCTGTGCAATAAGAGAGGAAACAGAAGGAACATAAATTTGATTTTGAATCATAAAGGATCCAGGATATCTCTGGATCAAGAACTGAAACTAGCAGTAATTACGAAAATAACTTTATTAAACAAGCTCAGCAGGAGTTTTGGTTTGGTTTCAAGTTTGTAGCAGGGAAAAGGAGAAATGATGAAGAAAAGGGAGGGGTAAAAAATTAAAATTTCTTGGCTGAAGAGATGTAACTGCTCAACAGATGTAACTTGGCCAAATCTACAGTGTATGTGAATTGACATAGCTCCAGTAATTTAAATAAGCTTATGCCAGTTTACACCAGCTGAAGATCAGGCCTTTCTGTTTTCCGCTAACCACATCTGAAAATTAATGAGTCAGAGTTTGATTCTTCACTGCTTTCCACCTTGTCTGGTCATTTATACCTGTGACAAGTGAGTGCCCAGAGGGTGTAAAATACTCCCCAGTGAGAACTGCATGGACACCAGTGGTGGTATTGCACCAGCATAAAGAGGAGTAATTCCACTGAAGCCAATGACAATGATGTTAAATGTATATGGTGAAGTGGTGTTAGATCAGAATCTGGCTGTGGTGGAAGTGGGGCTGCTCTGTAATAATTTATTAATACTGTACTGTGACCAGGTTATTGTAATGTTTACTGTATGAATATGATGATATAACTGTCTGTTGGGAAAACAAGCAGGAAATGGGAAAATATCTTGAGAGAGACACCCTTCTGCCAAAACTTAAGGGACAATGCAAGAGCTATTCGCTTTGATGTTCTGCCACTGATCCTCTGCAGAGCTCACCTATCTGGTTTTGGGCAGCAGGGTCCAATCCTGGGAAAGTGAGAAGACAGAGGACTTCTGAGTAGACAAAAAGGTGACCCTTTCTCTGCAGGGAGGGAGTCTTGGGAAGCTGTTTGAGAGGCAATAGACTGACAATTGCAGACACTGCTGGGAGTGTCTGAAGAACCCTTTCTAGAGTGAGGGCTCCCATCAAAGGATGGTCGGGCTTTAGGTACAATAGATAATCATAAAAAGAAAAGGAGTACTTGTGGCACTTTAGAGACTAACCAATTTATTTGGTTAGTCTCTAAGGTGCCACAAGTACTCCTTTTCTTTTTGCGAATACAGACTAACACGGCTGTTACTCTGAAATAGATAATCATGTAGATCTTTTGCTGTGTGAAAATACTTTTATTATATTATGCCTAGTTCCTACTGTTAAGATTAATCAATACTTTGGTTTATGAATGCTGTCTGGTCACAGTATTCACTGCTGGTTACCGACTCCTGAAGGGAAGAACCATAGATACCAAACCCAATTGAACCTGTTAGGGAAGCACAGTTGATCCAGAGTCCGGTGTCAGATGGGAGAATCGTGGGCTTCCACCTTAGGACAGACAAAGGCATAAGGCCTGAGTAGGGCTACCACCTGTCCAGGTTTTACCCTGACAGTCTAATTTTTTATTTACCTGGACAGTCCAATGGCTTGTGTCCGGGTGCCATTTTAGGGTTGCCAGATGCCCGTTTTTTTACCGGAAATTTCTTGAAGAAAAAAGTCTGGTAGAAAATGGGACCTGCCAGTGTCTGGTCAGATGTATTGACCAGACCAAAAGCCCGGTTACTGAGGGGTGGGCACTAGGTCATTAACCTGTGCCCCCCCTGCTCAGCTGGGGCTGCTTCCTATTGCAGGCAAGCTCCTTGTCAGGCTGCAGCCGCTCCCGTCCCAGCCCCAGAGCAGAGGGAACCCAGCGGGAGCGGGGGAAGGGAGGTGGAGACAATCCAGCAAGTGAGGGCAGAAGAGGAGTGAGCAATGGGGGCAGGACCTTGGGAGAAGAGACAGAGAAGGGCAGACCCTTGAGGGAAGAGGCGAAGCAGGAACGCAGCCTTGGAGAAAAGGTGGGGCAGGAGGTGGGACCTCAGGGGTCCAGTTATGAATAATTAGAAAGGTGGCAACCCTAAGCACTCTGATAGACTAGAGAAGGTACTAGGTAGGCCTGTAACCATAAGACAGGGTAAATTTGTTTTAAAACATCAACAGCCACAGGAAGGTAAGTGGGAAAAAAGCAAACACATTTATTTAGCTGCTGTATTTTATGTCATTTCTAATTACTCAGGAAAGCAACTACATTTGTTAAGTCATTTCCAGAAAGACTGAATTGTTTTTCCTTGTTTGTACATGTATATGTATAATGTGGAAATGACATATACAAAATAATGGGGTGCTTTTCAAAACTGAATCCTACTTTATGAGAAGTTATTTGTAAAGTACCAGTGTCAATTTAGTTGCAGTCACAAATTGTATACAATAATTTGATCATCTGGAAATGATTAGAGGCCATAAAATCATTTCCATGAACTATTGCTGGTTTCACATTTTTCCCAGTACAGTGCCAGGAATTGCATCTCTCCTACTGAAGGTTATTAATTTGACATTAAATTACAATTAGTTGGCACAAATAAAGCTACGGCAGCCATTCTGTGTTTTTATGTTATGAACAAAACAAGCTATTGAACAGCTGCTGGAAGCTTTGAATACCTAGAAATGCAGGTTTTGCCAAGGACTATTTAAAAATATTCAATTGAATTTCACTGAATTTTCATTTTGTTTGCTGTTAGTAGGATTTGTTCACTAACACACACAGTTAAAGTACAAGCAGTTATTCCATCTATGAACGAGAAGCGGAGCCCCAAGACAAGGGAGCCCAGGCAGCTATGGCCCTTGGGAAAGGAGCAACAGCCAACTGGCCATTAAAGATGAGCTCAGTAACATCAGTTTTGCAAGTGAGCACATACGAACCTGTCATAATAGTCACAAGTCTGTGGGATAGCTTATGAATGTGCTCCTTTTTTGCTAATATCCTAGACATGAGGCATTAATAGCTAGTTTCACATTGCTGGGATTGTGACAGGGTGTAGGAAGGTTGGTTGATTGGCGTTGATAGTGCCTGTGATATTGCAATCCCATGCAGTAGCTTCGGGGACCACTGCAGTACATTTATGAATTATTTGTATATGACTGTGTTCTACTCCACAGGGGAGGATTACTGCAATGCCACAGGGATTATTAAACAACTCAAGAGAAGCACCACCCTTTGGAATAGTTTATATATACTGGTTCAGACTGGGTTTTCCAAAACTAGGAAACAAAAAAAAAAAAAAATGGCTTTTGGTATAATAGGATGACCTGGAACTGACTTGCAGTCTTTCTTTTGATTCAGCAGACAGGACCTTTGGTCCTAAGCAGACCTCAACACTGAAGAGCTCGAAGGGGTGTTGGCTTCCCAGATTCTCCACGTGGAAGTTGGGTGATTTCTGGTATGTTTAGTAAGAGTGCAAGAACTTTTTATTGTATTTATGTTTTCTCTGTATGAATAAATATACTTTGCTCTGGAAGAGCTGTGTGGTAACTTGTAATGGCTGACCTACACTGGTCATTGTCCTCAGAAAAAGCACATCCCAGAGCTGGTCTTTAGCAGACTAGCTTCCTGAGGCTATCACAGTGTATGGGAGGGGGGCTGTGCAGCCCTTAAACCCCAGTCAGAAAGGACTGGAACATAGGTCCCTGCTGAGAGGCAAGTGACTGCTGGAGGCTTGAGACCCAACTGGGCACTCCTGGAGGGGAAAATGGTAATACACATGTTCTTACCCTAAAATTGTGACATTGTCGTCTCCTTTTTCCCCCTCCTGGGCATTGAAATGTTATATCCTTTTGAGTCATCTAAGGCCTGGTCTATACTAGGAAATTAGGTTGATATAAGTACATCACTCAGGGGTGTGAAAAATCCACGTCTGAGCGACAGTTAAACCAACCTAACACCAGGCACAGACACCAGGCACTAGGTTGACAGGAGACCAAGCTACCACTTCTCGTGGAGATGAAGTACGAAGCCCTGCAGCTGCACTGCTGCAACATTTTAAAGTGTAGACAAGCTTTGTCAACAAGGCTCGTAGTAGACGCACCTCGACTAAAACCTCCTTCTCCTGGAGGAAGGATGTGCTGTTAATGGGCGTGGTGCTACAGGGGGAGGATTAGGCACAGATGCCAGTGTTGGTAGCAGGATCATGGCCGGCCGGTGAACTTGGGGAGACTAGCCCCCTGCCCTGCCCCGCCCCTACCCTGGCCTGAAGGGGGGGGCGGGCGGGGTGGCAAAACAAAATTAAAGGTAAAAAACTTCAGAGCAGGACACTTGAAACAAGCTGGAAATACTGATCACGGGGAAGGTTTTCGGCAGTGTAAAGCCTGCGACCCGAGCAGCAGGCCGGAGGCCTGGTCGAGTGGGACTAGAACCGGCCACTGTGCCCTGGGATGAGACACGTGGGCCCTCGCTAGGGGGCAGACAGCAGCCTCTGGGGCACTTCTAGCCGCCGCCCCGCTTCCGCAGAGCGGAGACCCCCGGCACAGCGCGGGCCGAGCTCCCGCTTCGGCAGCCGCGGTAGCGTACGCCCGAACTTCCAGAGCCCATCCCGCGGCTCCCCCCAGAATGCAACGCGCCACGCCATTCCTGACGGAGACTACGACTCCCAGCGTCCCCCGGGTCAGTTGGACCCAGGCGCCCTGTGGTGCTAAAGGTCACCGTGCCGTCACGTCCGGTACGCGGTGCAGGCCGGGAATGCGAGTCGCGATTGGCCGGCGCCCTCCCCGCTTTTCGGCGAGCTGGGGGAGCAGGAAGCGGCAGAGCCGGCGAGACGAGGCGAGAGGCTCCTCGCGGTGAGTACCAGGCGCAACGTCCATCCCCCCTCGGGGCGCGCGCGTCTCCGGGGTGCGACCCCGGCCGGGAGGGGGATTGAAAAGGGATCGATTTAATGCGCGCTTTGATGACGTAATAACGACTACAGGGCCCGAGGCGCCGCTAGGTGCCTGGCTCAGGCTGGTCCTTCCGCCCGCCTCACGGTGGGGGCCCGGCCGCGCCAAGTCCCCGCTCGTAGCAGCCTGGTAGCCCGTTGTTCTGTCGCCGAGTTATCCGACACCTGCGGGCGCGCCACACGTCTAGGCCTTCCGCCTTCCCTAGCGTCTGGCTCTTAGCGAACGTCCATTGGCTCGTGTCCTGGCTTGGTGTCACCCACTTCCTTGCAATTGGCTGGAGTGTATTTGATTGGCAGCAAGTTTTCCCTATTGGGGTCGAGAGTTGAGGTCATGTGACCAGCTTGGGCTGGGGCGCTGAGGTTCGAACCCGGAGAAGCTGCGCTCTTTGGGCACGTGGCAGCCCCGCCTGGGCCTGCTGGGCGTAAGGCAGGGGGCGCCACGTGCCCACCCCCACTGTGCTCCATGCTGCAGGGGACGCAGAGGGGACGAGACACTACCCACCCCGCCGTGCTTCTGGGGGTGGTCACGAGGTGGAGGGCGTGAGACGTGTCCTGCTCCACCTTGCTCCATTCCTGCTAGGCAGTCACTGTACTGCGTCCCTGCTGCAGGGTCACAACGGCATGGGGACCTAACACATCCCACCCTGTCTCATGCTCCATCCATGCTGTGGGGTTGCCACGCAGAACGGAACATTATGTGTCCTCTTCCACTTCACCATGTTCCATCCCTGCTGCAATGGGACAATACGAAAAGGGAACATAGTGAATTACCAAATCTAATGGCAGATGATGATGCAGAGAGAAAAATAACACCTACCTCTTGGGGAGATGCTGAAAAAAGGAGCTGACTCATGTCATGGAAGGGATATGATCTAGTTTGCCTTGAATGAATGCACCATAGAGAGAGGATGAGTGTCCTGTCTTGGCACAGTGCTGCAGAGGAGACTGTAATGCATTGCACACTACCATGTGCTTTCTTGAGGGTTTGCAGGAGGGAATATGGCCTTGCATATGATAATGCTTGACCTGTCTTCTGGAATTGAGCCACATACTATGCTCGGATGAGGATGGAACAATGAGCTCAGAGTCATGGTGCTTACATAGGGTGACCAGATGTCCCGATTTTTGGGGCCTTTTCTTATATAGGCACCTATTACCCCCCACCCCCATCCTGATTTTTCACACTTGCTATCTGGTCATCCTATGCTTACATTAGCTGTATGTTTCCATAAAGTAGAGGGTGGCTGCAATAAACTTCTAGGTTAGCTTGACACGGTTCTTTGCCATTGTGACAGCATACACTGGGCAGTTTGGTGCAATGTTTCCTTTCTGTTGATTAGCATACAGCTCTTGGTGAATGACAGTAGTTCAAATAGATCTATGATTAAAAAATATTTTCTTATTGCTAAAAGAAAAGGAGTACTTGTGGCACCTTAGAGACTAACCAATTTATTTGAGCATAAGCTTTCGTGAGCTACAGCATCCAATGAAGTGAGCTGTAGCTCACGAAAGCTTATGCTCAAATAAATTGGTTAGTCTCTAAGGTGCCACAAGTACTCCTTTTCTTTTTGCGAATACAGACTAACACGGCTGCTACTCTGAAACCTTTGTTATTGCCGACAACTTGATTAATGCTGCACATGTATCCTGGCTTTTGAGCTAATAGATAACATAACAGGCTACATCTTTATTTAGTGATCACAGACTGATTTATCCTGCCATCATTACTTCTGTGACTTTTATTTTAGCAGTTCCTATCTGTGTGTATTTATAGATTGCTTATATCCCAGTAGTAGCTAAACCAGGGGTCTCAAACTCCCGGCCTGCGGGCCATCTGCGGCCCAAGAACCTCCGCAATGTGGCCCGCGGGGTTCTAGCAGTTTTGGGGCTGAGTATCTCCCTTGGCCCCACCTGCCGCCCTGGGCGCTCCCACTTGCCCCCCTGTCTCCTGGGCGATTTGCAATGGCTCCGGGCCCTGCCCACCACTGACAAGGGAGTTGAGCGGCTTCCTGCCAGCTTGCTCCATGTGGTTGCCAGCCGCTCCCTGCGGCTAATGGGACGCTTTGGGGGTGGTGCCTGGAGGCAGCAGTGCATGGAGGCCCCCCACCCGGCCCTGCCTTAGAGCCCCAGGTAAGCGCTGCACCCTCCAACCCCCTCTCAGAGCCTGCACCCCCTCCCCACATACCCCCTCCAGCCCCCAAACTCCCTTCCAGAGCCTGCACCCCCTTCCCACACAACCTCTCCCACCCCTCCTCCCTCCCAGAGCCTGCAACCTCACCCCCCCTGCAGCCCCACCCCCTGTCCCAGCCCAGAGCCTGCACCCAGCACCCAATCTCCATCCCAGAGCCCAACCTCTCACTCCTTCTGCACCGAAATTCCCTCCCAGACCACCTCCCCACCCAAACTCCCTCCCAGAGCCTTAGACAGGTGCGGGGGTGGAGTTTTGGGGGTCCAGGTTCTGGGCAGGAAGAGTGACATTATTGGCCCGCTGGGAAGATTTGAGGATTGGCACTGGCCCTAAGGTAAATTGAGTTTGAGACTCCCGATCAAAACATTGAGTTTCAACTATTTCTTATAATAATGCTGTCCTCCTATCTTTCAATTTATTGAGAGATTCGTTCTTTGGATTTTTTTTTTATTTATTTTTTTTTTTTACAGTATTCCACTTTAGCGTATAAATATTCTAAAACTATGAGTCTTAGGGAATGAAGTGAAATATACAAAGCTCTGTTCTTCTGTGATTTAGAGGATTTGCCTTCAGAAAAATGAGCTGTGGATAAGTCCAGTTTGGAAAGTTCTTTGGGGCTTTCAGACATTTTTGAACATAGGAGGCATTCTACCTCTTACCCCCCATTCTGGAGAACAATTACTGTTCTTTGTTTCTGGGGATTCTTTACATATGTTCTGCATTTTTGCACTTTGGTGTCACTTGGGGATATTTTGCATATAGCTTGAACTTCCACAAGAGAAAAACATGGTGCAGCATGTAATGGACAAGAACCTTCCAAAGCATGCAGTGAAGCATGGTTCCTTTGAGGTAAATTCACTGCTGATCTAGGTTGGTGAAACTCCATTAGTTTCAGTGGAGCTGAGATTGCTTATGGCAGGAATTAATTTCATGGAATCATAGACTTTAAGGTCAGAAGGGACCATTATGGTCGTCTAGTCTGACCTGCACAAAGCAGGCCACAGAATCTCACCCACCCCTGCGATAAACCTCTCACCTAAGTCTGAGCTCTTGAAGTCCTCAAATCATGGTTTAAAGACTTCAGGGTGCAGAGAATCCTCCAGCAAGTGACCCATGCCCCATGCTGCAGAGGAAGGCGAAAAACCCCTAGGGCCTCTTCCAATCTGACCCCCCTGGAGGAAAATTCCTTCCCGACCCCAAATATGGCAATCAGCTGAACCCTGAGCATGTGGACAAGATTCACCAGCCAGATACTCTGTAGTAACTCAGATCCCACCCCATCTAACATCCCATCACAGGCCATTGGGCCTATTTACCATGAATAGTTAAAGATCAATTAATTTCCAACATCATGTTATCCCATCATACCGTCTCCATAAACTTATCAAGTTTAATCTTGAAGCCAGATAGGTCTTTTGCCCCCACTGCTTCCCTTGGAAGGCTGTTCCAGAACTTCACTCCTCTGATGGTTAGAAACCTTTGTCTAATTTCAAGTCTAAACTTCCTGGTGGCCAGTTTATATCCATTTGTTCTTGTGTCCACATTGGTACTGAGCTTAAATAATTCCTCTCCCTCCGTGGCATTTATCCCTCTGATATATTTATAGAGAGCAATCATATCTCCCCTCAGCCTTCTTTTGGTTAGACTAAACAAGCCAAGCTCCTTGAGTCTCCTTTCATAAGACAGGTTTTCCATTCCTCGGATCATCCTAGTAGCCCTTCTCTGTACCTGTTCCAGTTTGAATTCATCCTTCTTATACATGGGAGACCAGAACTGCACACAGTATTCCAAGTGAGGTCTCACCCGTGCCTTTTAAAATGGTACTAACACCTCCTTATCTCTACTGGAAATACCTCGCCTGATGCATCCCAACCCTCTCTAGCTTTTCTTAAGGGCATATCACATTGGCGGCTCATAGTTATCCTGTGATCAACCCATAATCCGAGGTCCTTCTCCTCCTCTGTTACTTCCAAATAATGCGTCCCAAGCTTATAACAAAAATTCTTGTTGTTAATCCCTAAACGCATGACCTTGCACTTTTCACTATTTAATTTCATCGTATTACTCCAGTTTACAAGGTCATCCAGATCTTCCTGTATGATGTCCCGGTCCTCCTCTGCATTGGGAATACCTCCCAGCTTTGTGTCATCCTCAAACTTTATTAGCACATTCCCACTTTTTGTGCCAAGGTCAGTAATAAAAAGATTGGTCCCAAAACCAATCCCTGAGGAACTCCACTGGTAACCTCCCTCCAGCCTGACAGTTCACCTTTCAGTATGACCCACTGTAATCTCCCCTGTAACCAGTTCCTATCCACCTTTCAATTTTCATACTGATCCCCATCTTTTCCAATTTAGCTAATAATTCCCCATGTGGACCCATATCAAATGCCTTACTGAAATCAAGGTAAATTAGATCCACTGCGATTCCTTTGTCTAAAAAATCTGTTACCTTCTCAAAGAAGAAGATCAGGTCGGTTTGGCATGATCTACCTTTTGTAAAACCATGTTGTATTTTGTTCCAATTACCATTGACCTCAGTGTCCTTAATTTTTTTCCAAGACCTTGCATACTACAGATGTCAAACTAACAGGCCTGAGGTTACCCAGATCACTTTTTTTCCCTTTCTTAAAAATCGGAACTGTGTTAGCAATTCTTCAATCATACGGTACAACCCCTGAGTTTACAGATTCATTAAAAATTCTTGCTAATGGGGTT